CTCTGCCCCCTTCTGGTCTCCTGGTCGCCTCCCCCTCCTCGCCCCCCCGCCTCCCTGGTGGGGCCGCGGCCGGGCCCGGGTCCGGGGGCATTGCCGCCGTGGGCTGTGCGGGTGTCGGTGGTCGCGGGTGGGGCCTGCGGGGCCTCCTCATGCTGTCGGGGGGCCGGCTTGGCCGCTGTCGGGTGGGCCGCCCCCCCGCTGTGACGGACGCATCCCCGCTTTCTCGCTTCCGGGCGCGGGGCACTTCTCTCTGGGGGTGCTGACGGTTCCCGGTGGGGTGGGGTGGGATGCTCCGGCTCGGGAGTCTGGGGCCCGCGGTCATGTCGACCCACGGGGGGGGGAATGACCCACCGGGTTACATCGGTCTGGTTGCAGAGCCGGTTCTGTGTCGGACCTCGCAGCGCACTCGGGCATAGAGGAGTGAGGGTGATACGTGGGAAGTTGGTCGGCCACTGGTGGGTTGGGTCTGCTGTCCCTGGGCACCGTGTGCCGCAATTGTTTGTTTGTTAGATATGTGTGGTTCATCCAGCTCTCTGTTTGTGATCTTTGGTAAGTTATGTATTTTTTCCTCCCATGTAGCTGAGTTGCATTTTAAAGCGTATGTAACCGGTCCGATTTCGTCCGCTGTTACTGGCCTCTGCGTTGTGTGTGTAAAGTTCAATAAAGACATGTGCATCCTCATTCACTGAAGGTTTATTCTTGCTCAACATGGACTGGTCATCATAACTCTCTCTCCGACTGTGGAATGACAAATAGTAGCTTATCTCTCATGTGGCATATACAGCAGTATAATCCTCTCTCCGACTAACATAGAGTGAACTTGTTAACAGTCAGGAAAATTCTACCATTAACAATAAAACACACTGTTAATTCAATTAACAAACATGAAACATATAATGAAAAGGAAATACCTGTGGAATGACAAATAGTAGCTTATCTCTCATGTGGCATATACAGCAGTATAATCCTGTACAACATAATGTCCATTAGTCGCTATAATCAGATTCACGCTAATACATCATACACTACATCCATGCGATATCTACACATGTCTAAGTCATTCACACTTAAATCCTACAAAACATTACCAACAGCACTAAATATAAACGCTTTATACACTTTAGAAACTTAATTCGCTCATAAAACAAGGAGCTCAGCAAAACACCTACCTCTCTCCGACTAACACAGAGTGAACTGGCGAAAAACCTGCGAGCGCTCCAAAATGGCGTCACTGCGCCGCCAAAACCAAAATTCAAAATACAAGTCTCAACACGGAACTCTCATATGTTACATAGAAAACGTGAAAAATAAAATAAATAAAACGAGTACAAAGATTTTAATGAAAAAGAAATATCACAGGTGATATTATAACCCGTTACATACACCCTTTTTTGATTTCTTTAAAATCTTCTCTCTGAACACACTGAATTTAAATCACTTGGTATAGGTCCTCAATGAAACAATTTCATTAATTCAACTTGAAAGTTACCCACTAAGGAGTCAAGAAAACATCAGGGTGATCAAGCCTAAAATCTCCTTGGAATGATATGATGCCTTGTACACCATATTACGACCCAACCCTTTTTTTCAACATCTATTTAAATTCAGAACTAGTTCTTCACATTAAATTAAATTTAAAGACAACTCTTTAAAACAAAGACAGGAATGACTCAGATCTTCTTTTCAATTGATTTCCTACACCTTGAATGTTAAAAGGCTTCTGAACCATTGACTCAATTAATCTATTCACCTTCTTAACAACTCTACCAGCACGGGTTCTAACGCCTTGAATGTCAGGAACAGCTACCTGAGTGTCAATGTCATTTTGTGGGTCAGTTAGAAACTGTGTTGGTGTAAGTCCCTCTGTGTCACAATTCAAGTCGGCATCCAGAGATGTCTCACGGTTACTACTCTCAAGGGCACGTAACTGGTTACTTGACTCTCTTCCATTCATATCAAACTGATCTGATTCGAGGTCTTTCTAAACATCAATGTCCTGTGCTAGAGAGGTTTCCAACTGGGGAACAATTGGAGTTCCAGTCTCCTTGTCCTCCGAGTTTATAATCACACCTCCTGGACACACATCTCCATCACAACAGGTATCATCATCTGACTCGCTCACTGAAACTGGAATGATCCCCTCCTCATCAGACGACTCTACAGGTAGGAAGCTGATATCCAACACCATGTTTCTGTGCACTACCTTTACTCTTCCATCCTCATCCTTGATTTTGTAGGTGTGTGTTTGCAAATTTCTGTCTATCACAGTGTACACCACAGGATCCCACTTGTCTGATAGTTTCCTCTTCCCCCTTTCTCCTTTATTTGCCACCAACACACGATCTCCAATATTCAGACAAATTCCTTTAACTCTTTTGTTGTAACCCTTCGCTTGCTTCCTCTGTTCTTTTTCAGAATGTCTCTGTGCAATTTCAGCTGCCTCGTGAAGATGTGACATTAAGGTTTTTAGGTAAGTACTATGATCAATGACTACTGGATCATGTAGGATTCGGCCAAACATAACATCTACAGGTAACCTAGGCACACGGCCGAACATGAGTTGAAAAGGGGCAAACCCTGTCGTCTCATGAACTGTAGCGTTGTAAGCAAAGGTGAGTGTTTGTATTTGCTCTGGCCATTTGTGCTTCTCTTTTAACCTCTTAAGCCCTGAGGCCTATTTTCCGAAAATCCTATACTTTTACTTTTTAAGGCATTTCTCAGCTTTTACAAGGTCTAAACTGCAAATCTTGGTATCAAAATGAAGATAGGTTCTTGGGGAGTGGTGTGGATGAGTTAATTTGACAGTCAAGAACACTGGGTAAGAGTAATTGATGTTGGAATGGCCAAAAAATGAACTCCGCCTAAAAAAAAAACACATGTTTCCTCCAATATCTCCTTATTTTACTTATAACGAAGCAAATAAACACAATCAATTGTAACAACTACATGTCAAGGACATCTGTAGCAAGTTTGGTGTTCATACTACAAGAAACTAATATTCTGTAAAGGTTTTGATTGAACAAAATTCAGGCGTAATCCATGTTGGCACAGTTTGGCACAATTTGGCACAATAATTGAAATATGGAAAAATCTTGTCCAAAGCTTCAGCTACGTTAATAGTCTTCTTTTGTTGCTTATGGGACATGATTTAAAAAAAAAAAACTCCTAAAGAAACGCTGTAAAAGGGGGGTAGAAGCTCATTTACGCCATCTTGCTGCGCTTTTGGGAACATTTCATTCACAATCGCTTTCGACGTCGAGCTTCCGCGTGTCCCTACCCCCCGACCATCTGTCCAATCCGGGAGCTCTATATATCACTGGAAAGCTCTGATTCTATGGAAACCAATCAGCTCAACCATTTTGAGACTGACGGATCGCCGACGAATCACACGACGCGCAGCGTGGAGAGACCACCTCTTACGCACGGGGAGTCATTCCATATTTGGTGACGTAAGAGGAGCACTGGAGCAACAGAAAAAACACAAAATGGACTTTTCGCGAAGCTATCGACCGGACATAACAACAAACGGACTTTTATCGCTATGGAAATAACTTTTTGTTGAAAAAACGGCAAAGGTAAGACAAGATTTACATGCTTGCTTGGTTTTCGCTGGCGTTTTTTCGTGGAACTTTCGCTCCCTGCTCTGAAATACTTCATGCAATGTAAATGAGTTGCATATCACTGGATTCAGCTGGTTGTTAGCTTTCATTTAAAGTAATGGTTTGGGTGTTTCCGTTTATATTGTGGATACATATCGCACATAAATAAAAACGTGGTCATGAATTATACTCCGGACATGTTGTTGTTTATTTGCATGGCGTTCGAGCTGTGGTTCACGAATATGAAATTGAATTAGACACGTTTTTAGAGGAGTTTCCGCTGAACACAACAGTATTTAATATGTGTGGGTTATTCTCAGGGTTAGTGAGCTATGATTGAAAATGTAACGCACAAGGGGGCAAGTCCCCGGTACCGGGGACTCTCGGGCTTAAGAGGTTAAGGGTTAGGGTTCAATTTTACTACATGAATTAGGGTGACATTGTAGTAGTATATAGGGATAGCCATCAGACCATCAAGCGTTGGTGGTATAGTGGTGAGCAAAGCTGACATCCAAGCAGTTGATCTAAGTTCAATTACCAGCAGAGTCTACTTCTTTTTTCTTTAAGGGGTTAGGGTTCAGTTTACTGCATGAATTAAGATGTTATTGTAGCACTCAGGGGTCTCCACTCATTTTGTTTTTTAGTGGTGGTATAGGGTTAGGTTAGCATTCGAAATTTATCTTGGGTTAGGGTTAGCTTAAGGGTTAGGGTTCAATTTTACTACCTGAATTAGGATGACATTGTAGTAGTATTTAGGGACAGCCATCAGACCAGCAAGCTACGGTGGTATAGTGGTGAGCATAGCTGCCTTCCAAGCAGTTGACCCGGGTTCCCGGCCAACGCAGCCCTCTTTTCAGTTAATGGTTAGATTTCAATTTTACAGTTTAAAATAAGTTGACATTGTAGCACTCAGGGGACCGTTCTCAATTCGTCGATAGTTGGTGATATAGGGCTAGGTGCACTTTCAATTTGCGTTAGAGGTAGTGTTAATTTTAGGGTTAAGTAGTTTTTTGTGCTTAAATTAGGATGATATTGTAGTGGTGGTGGAGACAGTCTTGAATTTGGTAAGAGTTGATAGAATTGTGGTGAGCAAAGCTGACATCCAAGCAGTTGATCTAAGTTCAATTACCAGCAGAGACTATTTATTTTTTCTTTAAGGGGTTAGGGTTCAGTTCACTGCATGAATTAAGATGTTATTGTAGCACTCAGGGGTCTCCACTCATTTTGTTTTTTAGTGGTGGTATAGGGTTAGGTTAGCATTCGAAATTTATCTTGGGTTAGGGTTAGCTTAAGGGTTAGGGTTCAATTTTACTACCTGACTTAGGATGACATTGTAGTAGTATTTAGGGACAGCCATCAGACCATCAAGCGTTGGTGGTATAGTGGTGAGCATAGCTGCCTTCCAAGCAGTTGAACTGGGTTTGATTCCCGGCCAACGCAGCCCTCTTTTCAGTTAATGGTTAGATTTCAATTTTACAGTTTAAATTTAGTTGACATTGTAGCACTCAGGGGACCGTTCTCAATTCGTAGATCGTTGGTTATATAGGGCTAGCTGCACGTTCAATTTGCGTTAGAGGTAATGTTAATTTAAGGGTTAAGTAGTTTTTTTGTGCTTAAATTAGGATGATATTGTAGTGGTGGTGGAGACAGTCTTGAATTTGGTAAGAGTTGATAGAATTGTGGTGAGCAAAGCTGACATCCAAGCAGTTTGCGTTAGAGGTAGTGTTAATTTAAGGGTTAAGTAGTTTTTTTGTGCTTGAATTAGGATGATATTGTAGTGGTGGTGGAGACGGTCTTGAATTTGGTAAGAGTTGATAGAATTTTTGTGAGCAAAGCTGACATCCAAGCAGTTGATCTAAGTTCAATTACCAGCAGGGGCTACTTCTTTTTCCTTTAAGGGTTAGGGTTAAGTTTACTGCATGAATCAAGTTGTCATTGTAGCACTCAGGGGTCTCCACTCATTTTGTTTTTTAGTGGTGGTATAGTATTAGTTTAGCATTCGAAATTTATCTTGGGTTAGGGTTAGCTTAAGGGTTAGGGTTCAATTTTACTACCTGAATTAGGATGACATTGTAGTAGTATTTAGGGACAGCCATCAGACCAGCAAGCTACGGTGGTATAGTGGTGAGCATAGCTGCCTTCCAAGCAGTTGACCCGGGTTCCCGGCCAACGCAGCTCTCTTTTCAGTTTATGGTTAGATTTCAATTTTACAGTTTAAAATAAGTTGACATTGTAGCACTCAGGGGACTATTCTCAATTCGTCGATAGTTGGTGATATAGGGGCTAGGTGCACTTTCAATTTGCGTTAGAGGTAGTGTTAATTTTAGGGTTAAGTAGTTTTTTGTTCTTAAATTAGGATGATATTGTAGTGGTGGTGGAGACAGTCTTGAATTTGGTAAGAGTTGATAGAATTGTGGTGAGCAAAGCTGACATCCAAGCAGTTGATCTAAGTTCAATTACCAGCAGAGGCTACTTCTTTTTCCTTTAAGGGTTAGGGTTAAGTTTACTGCATGAATCAAGTTGTCATTGTAGCACTCAGGGGTCTCCACTCATTTTGTTTTTTAGTGGTGGTATAGGGTTAAGTTAGCATTCGGAATTTATCTTGGGTTAGGGTTAGCTTAAGGGTTAGGGTTCAATTTTACTACCTGAATTAGGGTGACATTGTAGTAGTATGTAGGGACAGCCATCAGACCATCAAGCGTTGGTGGTATAGTGGTGAGCATAGCTGCCTTCCAAGCAGTTGACCAGGGTTCGATTACCGGCCAACGCAGCCTTCTTTTCAGTTAATAGTTAGATATTACTTTTACAGTTTAAACTAAGTTGACATTGTAGCACTTAGGGGACAGTTCTCAATTTGACAGTTGGTTGTATAGGGTTAGGTTCATGTTCAGATTTGTGTTAGGGTCGAGTTAGGGTTAGGGTTAAGGGTTAGGGTTAAATTTTACTACCTGAATTAGGGTGACATTGTAGTAGTATATAGGGACAGCCATCAGTCCATCAAGCGTTGGTGGTATAGTGGTGAAAATAGCTGCCTTCCAAGCAGTTGACCTGGGTTCGATTCCTGGCCCACGCAGCCTTCTTTTCAGTTAATGGTTAGGTTTCAATATTACAGTTTAAAATAAGTTGACATTGTAGCACTTAGGGGACAGTTCTCAATTTGACAGTTGGTTGTAGAGGGGTAGGTTCACGTTCAGATTTGTGTTAGGGTCGAGTTAGGGTTAGGGTTAAATTTTACTACCTGAATTAGAGTGACATTGTAGTAGTATATAGGGACATCCATCAGACCATCAAGCGTTGGTGGTATAGTGGTGAGCATAGCTGCCTTCCAAGCAGTTGACCCGGGTTCGATTCCCGGCCAACGCAGCCCTCTTTTCAGTTAATGGTTAGATTTCAAATTTACAGTTTAAAATAAGTTGACATTGTAGCACTCAAGGGACTATTCTCAATTCGTCGATAGTTGGTGATATAGGGCTAGGTGCACTTTCAATTTGCATTAGAGGTAGTGTTAATTTTAGGGTTAAGTAGTTTTTTGTGCTTAAATTAGGATGATATTGTAGTGGTGGTGGAGACAGTCTTGAATTTGGTAAGAGTTGATAGAATTGTGGTGAGCAAAGCTGACATCCAAGCAGTTGATCTAAGTTCAATTACCAGCAGAGTCTACTTCTTTTTTCTTTAAGGGGTTAGAGTTCAGTTTACTGCATGAATTAAGATGTTATTGTAGCACTCAGGGGTCTCCACTCATTTTGTTTTTTAGTGGTGGTATAGGGTTAGGTTAGCATTTGGAATTTATCTTGGGTTAGGGTTAGCTTAAGGGTTAGGGTTCAATTTTACTACCTGAAATAGGGTGACATTGTAGTAGTTTATAGGGACAGCCATCAGACCATCAAGCGTTGGTGGTATAGTGGTGAGCATAGCTGCCTTCCAAGCAGTTAACCCGGGTCCGATTCCCGGCCAACGCAGCCTTCTTTTCAGTTAATGGTTAGGTTTCAATATTACAGTTTAAAATAAGTTGACATTGTAGCACTTAGGGGACAGTTCTCAATTTGACAGTTGGTTGTATAGGGTTAGGTTCACGTTCAGATTTGTGTTAGGGTCGAGTTAGGGTTAGGGTTAAGGGTTAGGGTTAAATTTTACTACCTGAATTAGGGTGACATTGTAGTAGTATATAGGGACAGCCATCGGACCATCAAGCGTTGGTGGTATAGTGGTGAGCATAGCTGCCTTCCAAGCAGTTGACCCGGGTTCGATTCCCGGCCAACGCAGCCTTCTTTTCAGTTAATTGTTAGATATTAATTTTACAGTTTAAACTAAGTTGACATTGTAGCACTTAGGGGACAGTTCTCAATTTGACAGTTGGTTGTATAGGGTTAGGTTCACGTTCAGATTTGTGTTAGGTCGAGTTAGGGTTAGGGTTAAGGGTTAGGGTTAAATTTTACTACCTGAATTAGGGTGACATTGTAGTAGTATATAGGGACAGCCATCAGACCATCAAGCGTTGGTGGTATAGTGGTGAGCATAGCTGCCTTCCAAGCAGTTGACCCAGGTTCGATTCCCAGCCAACGCAGCCCTCTTTTCAGTTAATGGTTAGATTTCAATTTTACAGTTTAAAATAAGTTGACATTGTAGCACTCAGGGGACTATTCTCAATTCGTCGATAGTTGGTGATATAGGGCTAGGTGCACTTTCAATTTGCGTTAGAGGTAGTGTTAATTTTAGGGTTAAGTAGTTTTTTGTGCTTAAATTAGGATGATATTGTAGTGGTGGTGGAGACAGTCTTGAATTTGGTAAGAGTTGATAGAATTGTGGTGAGCAAAGCTGACATCCAAGCAGTTGATCTAAGTTCAATTACCAGCAGAGTCTACTTCTTTTTTCTTTAAGGGGTTAGGGTTCAGTTTACTTCATGAATTAAGATGTTATTGTAGCACTCAGGGGTCTCCACTCATTTTGTTTTTTAGTGGTGGTATAGGGTTAGGTTAGCATTCGGAATTTATCTTGGGTTAGGGTTAGCTTAAGGGTTAGGGTTCATTTTTACTACCTGACTTAGGATGACATTGTAGTAGTATTTAGGGACTGTCATCAGACCATCAAGCATTGGTGGTATAGTGGTGAGCATAGCTGCCTTCCAAGCAGTTAACCCGGGTCTGATTCCCGGCCAACGCAGCCTTCTTTTCAGTTAATGGTTAGGTTTCAATATTACAGTTTAAAATAAGTTGACATTGTAGCACTTAGGGGACAGTTCTCAATTTGACAGTTGGTTGTATAGGGTTAGGTTCACGTTCAGATTTGT